TATCCTCGTCGCCTATTGAGTAAACCTTACTTTAATTTCATGATAACATTTAATCGCATTCAAATTCTTTCAAACGTTTTAAAATAAAAAATATATTATCTAATATGCATCTAATAAAGTTGTTTAGCATTCTTAACTCGTCGCTTTGTTACGTTCGATTTACATCGATCACTTTTCAGTTATACTGTTTACTTTTGACACATCGTATAGCTGATGGATGCTAGTACCAGCATCTTTTAAATGCATAAAAATATATATAAAAAAATGTTTCCTCAGCATTCTAGGACATTATAGGCGCTTGGAAACGAAAAACAAACAATAGCAAGAAAAAGTAACGTCATTTGAACTTGCAAATACCTCAAGTACAATTTTTAAGATTTTTATTTATCAGATAATGTCGTGAATAAGTTAGTCATGTAGTTCAAATACACGAGAGAATAGGCTAATCAAGACTTCTCTAAACGAAGAAGTTTCAATTTTGAATGATTAACGTAACGAATTTAAGAAAATCGTGTTTTGTGGCGTGTTGTACAACTATTGTCATACTATATATTAAAATATTCGATGACCATTGAAGAAAAACATGTAAAGACACTGATCAGCGAACATTAAATCGACTTAGAGCGATTATCATATTTAATCAAAAGAATTTTCTTTTCCGTTCCTCACTGATAGGGTGCATGAAGTCCTGAATATCTCTTTTCTTTTCCCTATGTTAAAATAGATCCACATCACTCTTTTTCTTTACGAAACAGGAATTTCCAGCGAGAAAATGATTGATTTAAATAGATTTCATTTTGTGGTAGTGCGTCTTTGAAAGTGTAAAAAGATTAATTTGAAGTGGCATAGAAACATGTCTTTCGTGTTTATATGGGATATTACATACGTATCTAATTATAAAAAGAAGTTTTTTGTATATACGGAATTTTGGAAAGGGGTACGATCGACTCGTCGCATCCTCCTCTTATATCCTCCAGTGAAAGAGCGATAATGTAAGCAAAATCAACCAAATCTGAAAAAATGTGAACATTCCGTTCACCAAACAATTTTATCTAGTACGAGTTCAATGAATTACCTCCTGTCCTTAGAGCTGTTACACACATATTACTTTGTAAAGATCGATAAAAATTCCTCTGATTGTAACGGTATTTATCGTTACGGCTCACTTTATGAACTTTACCCTCTTCGCTGTATCCTATGTTGGTGCATTGACCTGATGAACTCTCATTGTTCTATTGCGTGACCGTTCTCTATTTGTCTATATCCGCCCAAGTGTGATCGCTTTCGCGTATATAATGGAATGTAACTAAAGGAAATGCACGACTAGAGATGTACAGATGACACAATACACAATCATGCCGACGAGCATAGGCGACACTCTCTATGTTCGTCACACTGATGAGTTAAACTTAATCTGTAGAACCCCGTTACAAAGCCACCTCAAAACGTCTTCAGGAAAGATATAAATAAATGGCTAAGGAAAATATATTGATTTGGGATAGAAAAAGAAATGACCAGATCAGTTAGCTAAATCGTATGAAGATTTAAATTACAAGAAAGAGCTTTATGAAGGGTCTTCTGTTTAAAATGGAAAGTGGTAACATAAAAAAACGGGGGAAAATTCAAGCAGCATAAGGCAAACAAGAACTATAAAAAGAAAGTTCAATATTATTGAAATGCTATCCATTGTTTGTATTTTTAAATAAAATTTTAAGCATAAGAGTTCGAGATAAAATATTTTCAAAAAATGATTACGAAGCGTTCCATGGGAATCTCGGCTATTACTCGCATACTAAAGATACCAAGACTTGTTGCCATACAGTCACAGATGTTCTTTATAGAAAGCGCTATATATCAGGAATACTAGTTTCAGATCCTGAGAGTTTCGTACTTTTGAAAACTCCAATACATGCGGGTGTGGGTGTGAGGGTAGTGTCCTGCACAGGAGTCCGAAACCCGATTCCGACTCCGCCTCCGTCGGAATCGTAATTAAAAAAAAATTTTGGAGTCGGAGTAAAAAATGGCGCCGGACTCCGAAATTCGATTTATCCTCTGACGAAGCTGAAGTAGTAGAAAATAACATAAATTTTTTATGAGTTCACGTATGTACTATATTACTACAAAAATCACATCATCTGACTTTCACTTAGATACAAGTTTATTCATGAATATATATTGTATAATGAACAAAGATATGCTAATTAAAATTTTATAAATAAATCCTAAGCAAAAATAAAATGAAAATACTTCCACCATTCACTTGATGTTGATGCTTTTTTCTTCTCAACAAATTTTCTTGATGAATCATTATCTTTAATTAATTGTTCACGTTCTTCTTTAGTTAAATGCTTCTTATTCATAATATTTTTGCTTTCGAAAACAAACGTAAAGAAATGAATTCTATGACAATGTGCACTGTTCGTTCCTTATTGATTCGTTTACTTATATATCCTTTCAAAATACCAAACATTTGATATGAATTAGATTTCACAAAGCTGCAAAAAAAGTCGAGTTTTCCCGGAGTCGGAATCTGGTCGGGTTTAGGAATCAAAAAGTGCGACTCCGCTGGTCTCTAGTGTGGGAGTATATAAGCATACACACCCACACCCTCACCCTCAAGAAAAAAAAGCTTTCCTATTTTCCTACTCTAATAGGAAAGTATACAGTCGAAACGCAGGTAACGCACGGACGTTTTTTCAACTTCGAACGATTGTATCTCGATAATGGTAAAAGGAAAAAGCTTGTAAATTTCAACACTTATGTAAGTCGACAACTTCTATAATACCTGAAAGTNGAACCAATCAAAATAGAGTTTCTTATGCAGAAAGTTGTGTTTTACAAGATGGTATAGTTTGTTTTGAAAACAAAACAACTTCTACTTCAATCATGTTGGTTGACCGTTAGCCGTTTTGGCTGTATAGCAGAAAGTTCCCAGGTCGAACAGTCCGCCCTGAAAACGGCCGGTTCCGGGTAGTTCCGTTGATTTTGTGAAAGCAGTATTCCGGTTGGAAATTTTTCGGATTTTTTCCGGTGATTTCCGATGAATTCCTGCCGGAAAGCACCGGAACTTGGCAGTAATTCACCGGAAAAGTCCGATCGGATTTTTGACCGGAATACTGCTTCCATGTGCCAGCGATTTCCCGTGTTTTCCTGCAGGATATGGTGACTTTCCCGCATATTCCCTGGAGTATCCTACGGGATCCGGCGGCCGGAATGTTCGACATGGGTTGTCCTTTTTCTTTGAATGGATCGGAGCTGATGAAAATTTTGGAAAATTTCGTTTATATTCGGACTCGAATTAGGCAGCTACTCGACAGGAATGTTTATTTGTCGAGCAATTTCAGCGAGGAGTGTCCAAGAACTGGGGATTAGGAATTCCTCATCAGCTCCCCTACAGTTTCTTGCATACTAAAGGTAACAATATGGAATATTCACGATAATTTTTGTTCTTACACTCATTTTCACTTGCAAAATTCTGAAAATCCATGATTTCATGGAAAACTTATTTTTAAAACAGCAATATCGCGACTTTCGTAAATGGTGGAACTCTAAGGGAACCTATAGTTGATTCCTATTTCCTCTAGGAATTATCAGAGTGACACTGACAATTCCTCAGAATATTAGGAATTCCTATTTCTCAGTCCTTGGACACTGCTGTCGTTTAATTAGAAATTATTTCCTAGAAACAGTATTAGTATAGAGTTCATATTAATTTGTATGTATTGTTTTGATCTATGATGAAATTTATTAATATTGGAGTAAAATCTACAATAATTTTGTTACTCATGAATGATCAGATATTAAAAGTTAGTTTTAATTTCTCTTTCATATTTTTTCAAGGATAATATATTTTGCAATGAAAGAGAGTATCATAGAAAACTATGTCTGAGTTTTTGCTCTTTAAATTGCTAAAAATTGTACACCACGAGATGTGACTTTTGAGGATCTAATGTAATATTAAATGCATATGAATATAAAATATTGAAGTTTTATGTTTGTATCGTAGGCCAATCTTAGATTTTAGAATGGCTTAGTTCAAACTCGACGTTACCTTAAAATCGTCAGTCCAATCCTAGATTGACCTATTTTTCACACCAAACTCAGATTCGCCTAGTCCATTCTAAGATTTTTTATTTCTTTTGGTCAATCTAAGATTTGCCTAGACCTAAATAGGATCAATTTGTCCAGTTAGACATGGCTCTCACTATGTTAGTTATATTTGTTAGACTCGTTCGAACATTGGAGAAAATAATGAAAACAAGCCATAGACCACGAGTGAAATGTATGCTAATGCTTGAAAAAAAGTAAAAAAATTCTAATTCATCAGCGAATTATTGATGAAATATGAACAAAGAACTTTTTGGTGGGTTCCACTTTTGTATATCAGATAAACTCGTTTGTTTATAGTAGGTTCACTTAGATGAGATGTCGATGAGCACTGTATTAAATTATATTTTGAGGCACTATCAAGGTTATTATTGAGGTAAATGAGAACCGTGAATCAACCAGAGTATTTGTAAAAGAAATTCATTTTTCTGCTCGACATATTATCATAAAAGGATTGCTTTCTTAAGAAATATGTAACAATAAAAAAAAATCAATTCATTATTCAGTATATATCGTGGTATATTGATTGTTACTTTGTTCTGTTATTGACTGAATGAATATGTGCTATAGTTATAGTTACTAAATATTCTATCCTAGTTTGCCCTAGGCGAATCTAAGATTGACCTGAATTTTAGAATGGCCTACGACATATATACCATAAATTTGTTTCGATGATTGATTGAAGACATCTACCGAGGGCAAAATCTAAACCAATCATCATCACAAATATTATGCATTTAAAAAAAAGAAAGAAATAACAATTGAATTGAAATTGAATTACAACATTGAAGAAGCGCCCACCGATAGTTTTGATTCGTTAAAAATTAACTATTCATTTGGGAAAAAAAAACTTTCCTTTCGTTTCGCTTGTTTGTAAGTATATTAAAAGAACTATGTATCCACCTATAAAACGTCTTCGAACTAATGAAAATCAAGATGAATCTAATCATGCAGCCGGAGGAGTAGCAGCGGCAGCACCTGGCTCATCGATGATGGACGATTTTGAAATGACCGATGATGAATTACTATTTTCTGCAACACAAGTCGAACAACAAACAAATAATGATTATTATCAAGCTCAACCTGCTAGTCAAAATCCAATTCGGTCTCATTTACATGTACCGTCGTTGGCAACTCAAACAGTACTACAACCAATAGCGTCAGTAGGAAATCGAAATGAAAATGTTAATAAAGAACTTGAACTCGAACGAAAATTACTAATGAAAGAAGGTCAGATAATTATTCTTGAGAAAAACAATCGATTGTTAAGTGAAAAAAATGCTCGACTGTAAGTTAAATCAAGAATATAAAAGATAAAATTACACAAAAAGAATCGAAATCATACAAAAATCATTATTCTTTTAGTACTCGAGAAAAATGTCTTTTAAAAACTGAACAAGATGAAGCAGCAAGTGCTCGTGAACAACGTATTAAAGGGCAACTTGACACATGCAAATCTCAATTGACATTTAATGAACGGGAACGTAGTGAATTACAAACACGTTATCATACACTTGAAACGCGTTTTCACGAAAGTCAAGAAACAAGTAATCGTCTTCTTCGTGAAGTAACACGTCTTCGCACTGATAAACCGCAAATAAATTATCAACAACAACCACAGCAACAACAACAATTAACAAGTGCAACATCGAATCATTATCGTCTTCTTCAAACTCAATTAGTACAGTTTTCAGCTTATGAATTATTACGTACACGTACCATTGATTCATCGACAATGGCTATATCAAGTTTACAAATTATCTTAGATCGAATAAGACCACAATCTATAACTCAACATATTTGGCAAACATTAGTTGATTTAATATTTTTTCATCAACAAAATTCTACATTAATGAAATTAAAGCAACAAGATTTAACTATTGGTATTGATCTGATAACAATGACTGCATTTTATCAAATGATTTACAATACATTACATTTATTTAATAATCAAAAAACTCGATTAACAACAAATAATAATGATCAACAACAACAACAACAAGTTTTGACATATGAACAATTAATATTAATACTTGATGCTTGTTCACATTTTCTTTTAAATACAGTTAAATCAACTGAATCATTAAATAAACAAGAAAATGCGTCAACTATGAAAAAACAACAAGTATGTTTAGATAATAGAATAAAAAAAAACATTATCGAGATCAGAACAAAAAATAATTATCTTTCTCTCTCTCTCTCTCTCTGTGTGCAATTTCAAATTTGAACCCATATTTTTACAAAAATGTTCCCTTCTTGAACTGTATTATTGCTCAGATTCTGAAGCAGCGAACAGGGAGCATTCTATAAGTAATTCTTTCTACGTTTTCACAAGTTAAAACGATGTAAATTAAATTGACTGTAAGAAATTATGAATATTGGGCTATTGTTCGAACACTGAGATTCTTGCTGCTATGCAGATATTTCACTCTTACGTAATGCTAGAGATTTCGACGGATATATGAAGAAAATTGATTGTCAAATGTAGATCTTAAAATTTTCCTCCTGATACTAGTCTTACCGAGAATATTTTATAGTGATACGTTTAGATCTTTTTATTGTTCCTATCCTAATATATAACAATGCTAGAAGCATAGTCTTCGTACAAAACTTCAAATCAAATTTCTGAAATCAATAATGGTAATGTCTGTGAGGGTAACCATAACATTTAATTAGACAACACTTTCTTGACTAAAGGTATTCATAGATACTGACGAATTTCTCTTATTCGAGTAAGAGTAAGCTAATTCTCTAAGTCATATTGATTATAATTTATACAATGTAACAATAATTATCATTTCATTTTCCTAGGAAATCGAACCAATGGATGATGGATCATCACAACGATCTATGACAGATAGTAGTCAAATTCCATTTCCACCACCAGTTGATCATCACACAGCATATTACACAGCTAAAGGTCAATGTTTAACAATTCTGAAATATTATCTTTCTCATTCAACAACAAATAAATATCCATTTGCTCTGTTCAATCGTATTCTTACACTTTATACATTTCACTTTAAAACTCGTCCAACACATGAATCGGAACGACGTAAAGCTTTTTGTGCTTTTCTAATATCTCTTCTTGACGAACAGCAATGCATAAATCCGTACCAATATTTAACTGCAATTATTCTATCAGTACTTGATGCATCACCTGATGAACCTGATTGGCTGTGTGCTGTGCCGATAACAGATGAAATATCATCTCAACGTTGTCTTTGTTCAGTACTAATAACTCATCTTGATTCTCTAATTTATCTTGATAAAAATAATGATCTAGATGAATATATCAAGTTTCTTTTAGCAATTTATCGTCTTCAATTATTTATTTATGATAATGAAAAATTTCATAAAATGGAACTTGATAATGGTCAATGTCCTGGGTTATGTTGGTTAACGTTATTCATATCATTTGGTCAATGTCTATCACGTTTTCTTTTTCATATTATAAAACCGACAATAAAAAAGCAAATATTTGATCTTTCAATAAAGTTCGTTAAAATTTTAATTCTATTTTCCTTACAATTACAACCAACAACTTGTTTACCGCAACAAGCCAAAGAATTACAACTTTATACAAATCCATCTCTTTGGCATCTTTATGAAGTTATGTTATTATATCATCATCAACAACAATCGCAACAACATAACATTGAATCAATAAGTATTATTAATAAACAAGTACTCGATGATCAACTCTGTGTTTTTGGTTATATACATGATGTATTGGGAACTGGCAATGAAATAAGATAGATCTGATATTATTACTGTTTATTCATAACGCGTTTATTATAGTCAATCGTTTCACTCTTTTCTTTTCTGAATATTATTTGTGTAATAAAGATTCCTTTTGGATAAAACTAGGCTAGATTACGGCAGTCATATCGATTCAAATCATAAGATCTTCTATGAATTAAAATATACTCAAATAAAACATGTTACAAATAACATGATCATACTAAAGAAGTCTTTAGTAAAAATGTATAGAATATTATGAAATGATAACAGAATGCATTTTTTCGACCAGCAAAGTTTCATTTGTAATGGTATCATTCAAAATATAAAACTCTCTGTAGATATTCATCACTGATTTGATTTTAAACAAAATTTTACATTCAGCACAACTTTGATAATAAAAAATTTCCTCACAATATTGATATATATATCATTGCTGCACTTTTTACAATTTTTTAATTTATATTTGAAATAGAATACAAAACAATAAAGATTATTTGAAAATTCTCTTCGAATTAGGAATCAATATATATCGGCAAAATCAAGTCATCTTTACTTTAATTCTGAGTGTAAATAAATAAATTTCTAATATACATATAATAGCTGTTCGTTAATATTATTTTTGTTTTAAATCGAAACAATAAATTATTGACGACGAATATCCATGATAATATGACCAATACAGATTGGTGATATCTCGAAATGAAATAGTTTTCTCGTATTCATAGTCAAACACTTGTTTTGGAATAATATCACAACAATTTATTACTTCACTTGCCATCAATAGACAACCGATTCCGAGTGACGAAGGAGACAATTCCGTACAACGAACATCTAAATATTATAAGATGCTTTAAACTTTCTCGATTTGCTTCTATCTAATAGTCTTACCTGTTAAACATAATACAATAAACTCATAAGTCAACTGTCGAAGGCGATCTCTTATTGAAGAATTCAATAGATGAAGTAGAATTGCTTCGACATAATTGATTGATGTTATCACATCAATATCCC